GCCTATGAAAGGCGTTATAATATTTGGGAAGAAGGGGAAGCTTAGTCCCCGCTATATTGGGCCATATAGAATCCTGCAAAAGATCGGACAAATAGTTTATGAGTTGGAGTTGCCATCAGAAATAGCGGTTGTACACCCAATACTTCACGTGTCATGTTGTGACATTCAAATTTCCAGTACTTAGATACTCATGTCAGTTTAATATTCAGATACTCAAGTCAGTTCAATACTCAGATACGCATGTCAGTCTAGTACTCAGATATTCATGCTAGCTTAGTACTCAGATATTGATGTCAGTTCAGTACTCAAATATTCGTGCCAGTTCAATATTCATATATCCACGTTAGTTCAGTATTCACGTATCTATGGCAGACCAGTATTCACGTATATATTTCATGTTATGCACATTATGATGCCCTGTGAGGCTTGTGTTATGCTATGATAGCTGGCAGGTGTTTTGGAGAAATGTTAAAGGTAACTAACCTTTTCATTCAGACCTTATATTATAATATCCATGTCTTTCAGTATTCGGTCAGCTCAATATTCAGTCAATGTAGTAGTCAGTGAGTTCAGTATCTCAGCAGTTCATTAATTATGTATTCATTCAGTTTAGTATGCAAATGTTCATGAAAGTTCAGTGTTCACATGTTTCCACCAAACCCGCTTAAGGTCCAATGCTAGCCATAGTTACAGTCAGGACAATCATTCGTCCTCGAATGATCCCAAGGGGGAAATAATATAATACTCCGTAAATTCGGACTAGGCGTGGACATGTTAAATGAGTATTAATGTTATATTTTAGATATATGAAGTATTATAGGGATGAGTATGGGTGGAAATAGTCATTTAGAATCAAGACGGAGAGTGAGGTGCATAAGATTCGATAAAATCGACTAAGTTTAAGGTAGGTCTGTCTTTCAGCCTAATTTCATGGATTTATGTTAGGAATTGGAGAAAACGCAAAACATGAAAGTTGTATCCCTTTGAAATATCTTTCCAAATATATATATTATGAAGCCCTAACGAATCTTTGTACAAAACGTTATGTGCGTTTTACTGGGCAATGTGCAGTATGTGCGCCAAGATGGTCCCGTGCGCGGCCGTGCACTTGTGAGTGCTACTACGCTGCTGCACGTTTAGGTGCACGTTTGGGCCTTCAGGTGCGCTGGAGCGCACTCGGGGGGTCATTTTATAAGCCCTACCTTGTCCTCCACACCCCAAAACACAAAAACTTGCTCTAGAAAGGGAATCTCTCGAGAACCTAACTCCTCAAAGGTCCCTCCACCATCCAAGGTGAGTTCTAATGGTGATTCTAAGTTAATTTTAATTCTCCAACACCTTATTAACATGGGTAAACCCTTCAAATCATTAGATATTCGATTGGGGCATCATTGTTGAGAGAAGAAACTCTAGAACTCCAATTCAAGAGGATTGAACTTCAAAAAGGTAATGTCTTCAACCTCTCATTGATTATACCATTGGATTAATGATTATAGACTCTACGTTCATGAGATATGAGTTGATGAGTTTGATAGAAAAGCATAAACAATTATATGTTTGGGTTATTGATTGTTGATTATTGATTAAGGGTGTTGTTTATCTTATGGATGAAGAAGAATGATATTGATTATAAGAAATTTGAGATTTTAGAATTTATTTAGGAGCAAGAGAATGGCCTGTTGGGTGCAGAAACACCATTAATGAGGGCTATGAGGCTTTATGCCCATAAGGTATTTGATAAAATGCCTAAGTGACCAAAACATGAGTATTATTCCTAATATGGAATCCCTTTGACTTGTATTGATATAGATTAAAGTTGAAAGGGTTGGCAAATTTTATATTACGCTCAATAGTAAGAAGTTAAGCTATGTGAGGTTAACTCTCTATGTTTGAAAATGTTAATGATTTTCCCTACACTATAATTTTTTTACAACGTTACTAATTGCCTCAGAGATATAGTTAAGCCTAGTTCCTTGAATAGTTGCAGAACTTCTATTCTCTAGCTTTATAACTCGTTCATGACTTTCATTCTGAACGTTGTGAGCTCAGTGCGTAATCAATATAGACTTGGGTTTGATGCCCATGAGTCTCAGTCTAGATTACTCAGTATGTCATAAACAATTGAAGTTTCAGTTTTCATAATCAATTCAAGAATACATGTCTCAGACTAGTCCTATTTAGTATTTCAGTATCATGTAACTCAATATGATTCAGTATTTCAGCATCACATATTGCAGTATGATTCTCAGTTCCTGAATTTAAATCCCTGAATGTTGAACACATGTATTTGCGCCTGAGGCCGTAGTTTATATGCTTTATGCATATTTAGGCCTGAGGCCATAGTTTATGCTTTATGTATTTTTGGGCCTGAGGCCGTAGTTTATATGCTTTATGCATATTTAGGCCTGAGGCCATAGTTTATGCTTTATGCATGTTTGGGCCTGAGGACGTAGTTTATGCTTTATGTATTTTTGGGCCTGAGGCCGTAGTTATGTATACGTATACTTGGGCCTGAGACCGTAACTTGTACACATATATATTGGGCCCGAGGCTATAGTTTATTCAGATAAACAAGTTGTTCATCATTCAGAAGAGGGAGTATTCATATCCTTACTTCCTTTGTTCAGTTATCAGTTATCATTTCAATTATCAGTTATCATTTCAGTTATCAGTTATAAGTTATCAGTTATCAATGCAGTTTCAGTTTTAACGGTTATCATTTCAGTTATCAGTTCGCTAGTATCAGCTCAGTTTCAGTTTCAACATTTACAGTTCTTTCTTTTAGTTGCTTTAGATACCAGTGCAATTCAAATGTACTGACGTCTCTTTTGCCCGAGGCCCACGATGCAGGCAATAATTTACAAGTTGATGATTCAGAGTGCTAGGATTCTCGTACCAGTTATTCGGTGAGCCCCAGTTCTTTCGGGACATTATCATTACTTTGCAGTCCTTCAGTATTTTCAGACAGTCAGTGTTTTCAGTACTTCATTAGAGGCTTCATAGACTAGAGTAACAGTTAGATAGAGTCGCAAGCTTTTCATGTTAAGCAATGTTTGCTACATATATGTTTCAGAATTATATTAGTGTTTCTGCTTTTTGATTTATATCATTCAGACTTTCAGTATATCAGCATGTGCTAGTTTATCTTCCGCATTCAATATGTTATGATATCACATGTTGATTTAGTCAACCAGTTGGTTCGCTATATCACATGTAGTTAGGCACCGAGTGCCGTGTTACGTCCAGGCTCAGGTTCAGGGTGTGATACTTTGTTGATTGTTATGGACTGTGTCTAGAATTTGTTGTGTCTAGACATGGTACTCTGGTAGAAGATCCAATCAATTGCCGAAATTCTAGCATGTGCACAAAGTAAGTTCCAATTTTATATCTGACCCAATTTGGTTGGGAATTAGAAATAGCCAGATTTACGATAGCCAATTGAAAATTAGTCATAGTTTTAAAATTAATCGAAATTTAGCGACTTTTTCATGTGAAAATAAAATCCGAACAAAAATGCCCTGAAAAATCCGTAAAAATTCCAGCATAACATGTTGGAATTCAAATTTTTTACATATGAAATTTCAACACAATTATACTGGGATTCATAATGCGGTGGAGCTCCAATAGAAAATACTAAAAGTTTATACGCAGGAGTTCCATAATCCAACATATTATGCTGGAACTTTTCATATTTACTTTTGTCCAAATTTTATCTCCGTATTAAACGGTGACTACTTTTCAATAACTTTGCAAGCACATACTATCTTTCAATAACCACCCGTAAAAATGGCTATATCATGCCATTTTGACAATTTGGTTCCAATATGGATCTTTACATAAATAACTGACCAGATTTAATATTTAATTTTTCTAGCTGGTATATATTAATTATACACGATTATATGTATTATATAAGCATTATACATATATTATACATAGCTGACTATTTTTAGTTTCAGTGGTTGGTGCGATTATATAGATCTATGTTGCGGACTCTCCAAAATGATGCCACTCGTATTGAATCCTCCAAAATGTCAATATCTAAACAAAATAATTTTTTTCCATAGTCATTATATGTATACAATACAACAACAACAACAACCCAGTATAATCCCACTAGTGGGGTCTGGGGAGGGTAGTGTGTACGCAGACCTTACCTCTACCATGAGGTAGAGAGGCTGTTTCCAATAGACCCTCGGCATCCTTCCCTCCAAGAACTCCCCACCTTGCTCTTGGGGTGACTCGAACTCATAACTTCTTGGTTGGAAGTGGAGGTTGCTTACCATCAGAGCAACCCCTCTTGTCTAATGAGCAAAAAGTGGCTTCTCGTACTGTCTAATCTTGTGGGGAACTGGCTTTTTAGTTGTATGAAAGCCTATAGATTCTTGCTTCTTGCTCAAGGAACACTGATGCTAGCTTGTGCAAACTACTTAAAATATTCTTGTAGATCTTCTTTTCTCCCTTTCGATCCTTTCCTTTTCTCTAGCATCGTGATCGTATTATTTTATTAATATAAGCTTATGAAATTGAGTAATTTAGATGAAATTATAAATATTACTAGAAATTTAGGATTTAAAGAAAATGGTTTTCAAGTAATGTACTTGGAGTTTATTCAGTAGGAGGGATTTATACTTTAATACTAGAAGATTTAAAATTAATAGAATTCAGATCTCTAAGATTTCAAATGACATGTTTTCATAAATTCAAAATAAAGAATGAAATGAATCGTGATTTGAGTTTGTCCTAAATCAAAATTAGATAAATTTACCAATTCTGAGGTGTGGAGGGTAAAGTAATTTTCTGTGTACCTTAATTTCAAAGTAAAAAAAGCAAATGGAAACACACCGATTTACATTTCATTAATTGATAGATGCCTAAGCCACATTATTCTTTACTCCTTAGCTGGTTTATACCCAACTTTTTTTGTATGCAATATAGGGAATCCCAACAGAAGGAAAAAGTAGGCAAAAAAGCACAAACAAAGCTAGCATTGTATGGACAAAAGAAGCTTTTCTTAAAAGCTACAGATACACTTTGGTATTATTATGTTTTATACCATTACTAAGAACCCATTTCAATAGATCTTACTATTTATACTAAGGTATATCTAATGTAAATACAGTTGTATCAAATTGCTTTTACTCTTTTCACATCCCAGAACTAAAGAGAGGGACTAACCCTGAAAACATACTACATTTTTCCTGTTGAAAGTCCTTGCCTTCTTTTTGTTTGAAGGTCCTAGAAGTTTATGAAAAAATGGCTAAGATGTTTGGTATTTTTGCATGCTTACTGATTGTGGCCTTAGACGCGATAGCTGGGATTCTTGGAATCAAAGCAGAAGCAGCTCAAAACCAGGTATATCTCCTCCAAACAGCAATGCAAGCATGACACATCCTCAAACCCCCATAGAAAAATTTGTGTTTGATCGTATCTGATTCTGTTTTGAGTTTAACTTCTTCACACTGATATAATAAAAGAACTTTTTTACCATCAGATTTACTACATGTAACTGTCCACAATAAGCGAAACTAGTTATTTGAAAAATAACATCGATAAAATTACTGTGATAGTAAATAAATATTTATATTATCAGTATATATAACTCAGGTTTTGTTATTGTTTTGTGGATATTGAAACAGGAAAAGCACCTGAGGTTATGGTTGTTCGAGTGTAAAGAGCCAAGTCATGATGCATTTGTACTAGGTGTAGCTGCAACTTGTCTTCTTGCAATAGCACATGTTCTTGCCAATCTTCTTGGAGGTTGCAGCGTTTGCGCTACTGATGATATTAAGAAAGCACCCCCAAGTAGGCAACTATCAATGGCTTGTCTTGTTTTTACTTGGTATGTCTTCAACCCCTTCATTCATCAATCCTGGAAAAGTACTTTAAAACCAATCTTGTTATTTTGTTTTGATTTACTTTGGTTATATTTGCAAGGAAATGCGGGAGGGTGTTAATAATTGATAAACTAACTCCACCTCAATATCTAGTTCAAGGGGTGAAGATTGCATAAAATTATATGAGCAAACAAGAAACAACAACACATTTCCTCCACTAAGTCAAGTGTTTGTTTATTTTCATATTTATTGGTATAATAATATCTTGAAGAGTTCCTCGTTGGGTTGGGGTAAAGGTAATGGATATTCAATCAAGAATATTGTCCATGATTTGAGGCAAACATGTTACCGTGTAATCAAAAGGACAGAATTCAGAAAATTAAACCTATCCTACTTTTTGACAAAACCATTGAGCAGAAAAGACTTAAAGAGTCAAAAAATGTCCCTACATGTTGCTAATATGCTTTCGGGGGGTTTTCAGGATCATAATGGCAATAGCAATGGGACTGCTTGTAATTGGGACGATGGCAAACAACAAGTCAAGAGCTTCCTGTGGGTTTTCACATCATCACTTCTTCTCTATTGGTGGAATTTTGTGTTTTGTCCATGCCATCTTTTCCGTTGCATATTTTACCACAGCTTCAATGATACTCGCCCCTTAGTCCAATATTATCAACTTCTTTTCCCACGGCAAACCCTTTTTTAAGATTGCAAGTTCTTGATTTTCTACCTAGTTCATTTTTT